ACAGTTACAGCAGTGATGAAAAAATAACTTTATGACCAATCCTCACATTTATGACCTTCGCAGGTCTGTAAAGCAAAAGAAAGCTAAAGTAAGATCATAAGCACAGTTGTGCTTAGCACTTAGCAACTGCTCTGCTTAACCACCAAGCTGCCAGTCCCAAATGTGGCCGCTAAATGAAGACTACTTATAAAGTCTTTACTTTTGCCAAGCCTTTAATCAAAATTAAGTTTAAAGCTTGTACAGCCACTTTTCTCTTCTGGCATCACATTTCAAAAAGGATAGCTTTGGCTCAAAGAAACACTTGACAAGCCATGTTTTAAATGGAGGAAATCACTTTTTATATGCAGGAAGCCCCTACCTTTCCTGTTTCTGTAAGAAAAAAAAAAAAGGACAAACATCAGTGCACTGAAAGACTGAGCTATCATGGTACAGAACAGCACTCTCACTCTGGTGCCATCCATTTGTGGTGCCATCTCTTAACTATCAGAAATAAAAGGCAACATAGTTGTTGGCCATGCTGGCTGGGAATTCTGGAAGTTGCAACCCCAATACATGTGGAGACTGCCAGATTGGGCAACTTTTTGACTCCTAGGGCATCATGTGACACTTAGCATCCCAAAACAATGCTGCTGTTCTATGCAGTATAGATGTCAAATGGTTGGCCTACCTGTGTGCAAAAGTGGCTTGCACAATTATGCAGCGTATCACCAACTTGCTAGAAGGTGGTAAGATTATGCAGTGCCCAGTACTGTTTTGTTGCAATTGATCCACAACAAAAGGGCCCAGATACCCTGAGCAGCTTCTTGAAATGCCCATGAAACCATACTCCACTGCAGGTGCACTCTAGGATTCTTTCTTGTAAAAGATCTGGCTCTTTGGTCATACACATCCTACAATCCTAGGATTGTGTGATGTGTAAAAACATCCAAATGGGATTGATTTCATAAACCACAGTTAGGCAAAACATGCCTTAGTGTTGATACATCAACCCAACTATTATGTCCCCTCTGGTACTAGCAGCCCTGGTCCTAGGAACTGTTGCAAAAGCTTTTATGTCCAAGTTGGGACTAACCTATAACAGGTGGGGACATGAGAAAGGGGGCTAGTTGTGTAGATTAGCACGACAGCTATGCCCTACCCACCAGAAACTGCAGAACCAGCCAAAGAACTCTGAACATGTCATTTCATCTAAATCTGTCCTTGGCTGCCTCTGCTGCAGCTGGATGAAGTCAAGGCAGTGGCACCCAAATATGTCCTTTGGAGACAGTGGTCTATTCTCAAACTGGAACAAGGCTATGTAGATTATTTGATCAAGAATACTGCCACGTCCATAACCCAAACCCTTTGCAAAATGAATCTAAGTCACTTTGCACAAGCCTAGAGGACAATAAATGAGGGATGGGAGCTGCTATTCAATCTCCTGACCTGGCAAGCTGGAAGGAGCTATCCAAGTTGTAACCAGGAGTATGGGGGATTCAACTTTTCTGGGTAGTTATGAGAGTATGGCTCCATCCCTGTTGGTAGATTTATAGTGGTACATCCATTACGTCCATTTTTATTATTCTATTGTAGTTTTCAATGTTTTATTAGTCTGAGTATATGGTTTCAAACTGTTGGAATTTATTCAATAAATTCACAGCCTGTTTGTCCAATCCAGGGGGGAAAAAAAGGACTCAAAGTCTCTGACAAGATATGAAAAGCAGGAAAGCAGTGCAGTAACAGTTAAAATGCATTTACAACCAGCTATATGCAGTACAGACACAAGCACAAGAAGTCAATAACACAAATATTTATTTTAAAAGTTGACTTGCTGGGTCATTAAAGAGAAATGAGATAACACTGTCCCCCACCCCAGCATTACAATTATAATGGAAGGTAAGGTATACATTCTTCTAATTAAACATCCATTCTCAAACTCTGGAATTTTATCCAATATAAATGTTTAGTTTCATCAGGGTCCAGTAATTTCTGCAAGTCTCAGTAACCCCCACTGCTCTAATCCCTTGTCAACTTGCCAACTTGATCTTGTTTCCCAGGTTCTACAGTTTCCTCATGTAAGAACATAAGGGTATATACTGAAACTGACCTGTAACACAGGCCTTGAGTAATTGAACCCGGACAACACCGTACATTATTTAGCCTCCAGGATGCTTCACACATGATGGGGCAAGATACACAGTTTTCCATTACTTCCTCATCTGTGTGCCTGAATCATATAGTTTGACCACGTGATGTTTTTTCATCGATGTGTTGATGTCAGAGGCTGCGAGGCTTTCAGATTTACTGCAAAAATGGCATTGCTTCACTAAGTTTTATTTTGAAAAGCTTAATTGTTTAATGCAAAATTAAGGTATAGTAATGACATTTCTAATGTTTTATTGAAGATGATAATTCTAATATTTTTTTTAAGTTAATCTAAGAGAAAAAACTGTAGCAAAATATGATTAAGATTGCAATGGTGTAGTATGGCATAGTGTGTGGCTCAAAAGTCATGGAGAAAGTAATTTCATGTTGAGAATGATCCTGAAAAGTCCTATTCCGTCTTTATCAGACGTGCTCCAATGTCAAAACAACTTATTGCAGCCTGACTGGAAGTGGCCATACATGGAAAAGGGCTGAGGTTGGAAAGGGATGTTTTGAGGTCAGGATTTACTGATCTGAAAAGTTTCACACACCTCCAGCAATGGACATGTATATTGCTGGATGAGATCAGACTAGAAGTCTACCTTAATCTACAATCTGGCTCTCTGTGATACCCAATCAGCTGCTTCCTTGAAGAACTACAGGTACAACAAGGCAATAGTAGTAAAATAAACAAAAATGTTTAGATACATATTGGGTGGGGCCGTGCAACACACTAAGTCAAAATGTGGAGCACAAACTCAGCCATCTGGTTGAAAATCATGGTTCATGGACTAACATAGGGGTATGCATGCTCATTTACGCTGAGGATAGCATATGGCATGTCCATAGTGTACTGAAGCTTGGCTTCAAAATTTTAAAAAATCATTTTATTTCCATGTAGTGGTAATTAAAATTAATCATAGCTAATATGATTCCTTATGTATTTAATAACTGGGTAACAATTTTTGAAGAACTTTGTGGGACACACCCAAGGTTTTTGGCTGCAGGTTGCTCTGGGGCCTCAGGTTATGTACTTTTGGCTTAACGTGCTATGATTCATTTAGGAAACTATCATTAAGCAAATCTTTGCTGAGCACGTTGTGTGAACTTCCTAAGAGCTTCCTAATCTAAACTATTAAAAATTGGAAAAAGTAGTTTCTCTATCCCTGCTTTTTCAAAAAAAAAAAAAAGTGTGAAAAAAGAGCAGTTTAAATCACACAAAAGAAAAGAATATTCTCCTACAGTATAAGAGTCTGAAACAGGGTTAGAAGCCTGAGGCCCTCTGGTTATTGTGAGAGTCCAGCTTCCATCAGTCCCAATCTGTGACCGAGGAAGATGGGAGTTGTAATCTAACACTGTCATGGTTGTGATGTCTTCTCTAGTTGAGGGGAGTCAAAGAAGTCAAGATGGCAGTCACAATCATGCAACTGAAGTCTCTATCTTGACTATTTTAACCCCTGCAGATACCCCTGGCACTAGTAGCCGTGGGTCACTTCTCTTGGCAGCCCTCCTTGCTCAAAAGGATCCTGTGGCTAGTCCATATCCTTGAAATTGCAAGTTTCCCCATCTTTGGTTTAAAAGAGTTTGGTAACACCTTCCCTGAGGGGGGATATGACAGTTTACTGCAGCAAGAGGCAGCCGTGGGACCTTACGTCTCCCTACTCAGAAGCAAGTGGTAGAGTTTATTTCCAGGTGCACATGCACAGACTGTAGCCAGAGTCTGGTAGAGTTATAGAAGCTAAAAAAAAAAACAGCATAAGCTTGTATGGATTATTACTCACTTCATAATGTATGCAAATGTTGTCCAGAGTTAGTGTGGACATGCATAGGCTTGGGCATAAATTAAAAAAACAAAAAGGCTCAAACTTCTTTTTTTAAGGTGTATATTAACCAGGTAGGTTAGATATTTCAGCTAAATACTCTCATCAGCAAAATTATCTAACTTCGCTATTCTATCCACCTATATCGCTAACCAATACAGAACAGAAAGACGTTCAACAAGTGAAGCTTTCCCCACCCGTTGGATTTCTGGGTCAGGAGAGGGAGAATGCTGAATTCCCGCCCTATGCGCAGGTGCGTGAGACAGATGAACCTGCTGAGTGAAGTGATGGGTCACCCCAAAGTGCACACCGGTGGAGCTCCCAGCGCGGCATCTCGGTTGTAGCCGAGCAGCCCGTTGCCTAGGCGCCGAAGACGGCCAGGAAAGGGGTTTCTAGCAGATTCGAGGCTCCCGCAGCCGTCTTTCTTACCGCCGCAGGTGCATCGCCTTTTCCGAAAAGGCTACAGTGGCGCCCGGCAAGCGTTGTAGCGACGGCGGGTCGCTCCCTCGCTCGTATCTAGTTCTCACGGCTGCTCCCACCCCCCGCAGGCTAAGGGGCTCGCACGGGCCTACCGTGGTGCTTCTTCGCTCCGTGGGAAGAAAAGCCCAGTCACTTCGGGGCGGCGGCGAGTAGGTCTCCAACGCTCCCCCTCTACAAGAGGCTTCTGTTCGGTCCAACCTGCTTCGAGAATCCGGGCGGCGCCTGGACTTACCGTGTAGAGCAGGTTGAGAGCGCAGAGCCAATTCTTGGAGCAGGAGAAGCCGCCGCAAACCATCGCGCCCCTGCGGTTGTGGTCGCCGCTGCAGCGCCTTCTGTTCTGGCTACTTCAGCCCTTCCTTCCAGGGAGGGAAAAGGGCGACCCTCGGTTCGCCGGAGGCTGTCTCGGAACCTTTCCTTCCCCTGCCCAAGGCGGAAAGGAGCAGGTGGAACCAGCGTGACCACAGCAGCGCTACAGGAACAGCAGCCGCCAAACCCCGATTTCCCAGCAAGCCAGCGAAGCGGGGCCGCCAGCGCCAGCTCAGAAACCTCCGGAGTCGGGTGGGGGGGGGGGGGAGGTGGACCGCAGGCAGCCAGCCAAGGCGCTCATTGGCTGCTCTTCGGAGACAAAGGTAAAAATATGCAAATACGCCCAGCCCGGCGACCTGGTGTTGAACGAAGTCCTGGAGGAGCCGGAGCGGGTTTGCACCTTCCCGATATCGGTCTTGTTTTATTTTTGCTTGAGGGGAAGATTGCGGCTTCCTGAGAAGACATTGGTCATCCTGACAACCCAACTCTCACCGACGCACCTCCGTGCACACGTATTATCGGTTGGTCGACTTTGGGTTAGAGTAAACGTACAGCAGCTCTTTGCCTTCCGGATACGTTGAACTACCCTGTCCATTATTTCTTTCCGGTCTAAGATTGATGGGCATTGAAGCCCAGTATGTCTTTGAAGTATTTCTTGGAGGGGTCTGGCTTCTGATGTAGTAGATGTATATGCTATGTGGTTGGAGGTTGTAACGAATTGCCTATAGACATGTTCATACATTGTGTATGTGTCTGTGTGTATATATATATATATATATATAATTTAATGTATTGCTTTTTAAATTCTACAACAAAAGAAAAACTCAAATGCAGTAAATATCAGAAAACCAAAACAAAATAAACAAAAGCAAAAAGAAAGTAATACATATTAAAACTATTAGATGTAAAATGAAATTCAAGACTTAACCAAATATATCTTGACTACACAGATGAGATTCCCATGATGTCAGTAGAAAGTCTGTTCCTACACCGAAAGTATAGACATATCTTCCCTCCAGGTTTTTAGGTGAGGTGTACCTTAGCTGCTACCCACACATAAGTGCAACGTATTTTTCATGCTTTGATAGATTTCCAGTTTGGGGAATATGATTTTATACTCACCTGTTTGATTCTTACTTCTTTCCCCAATACTCTATTTACAATCTTAATGGTGTCATTGTGGAAAGAACAGGCCCAAAGCATGTAAGTTAAAGACCCTTCCAGCATATTGCACTTCTAGTGATTGGAAGCCAGCCCTTGCTAGACATTGTCTGTGGTGTCCAGTAGTCTTGGAAAATAATATTTTATTGAAGGTTTTGTGTACAGTGGTACCTCGGGTCACGAACGCTTCTGTTCACGACCAATTCGGGTCACGAACAGCACCGTTCACAAAATTTTGCTTCCGTTCGCGAACGCGGGATCGGGTGATGAACAGGATCCGCGGCAATTTTCCCTGCCGTGACACGTGGTCGTGGCTTCCTGTAGGGAGGGGGACTCTCCCTCCAAGCAATAACCGCCTCCCCACCCGCCTTCCTGTCCTCCACGCCAGAAGTCGCCTCTCTTAGCGTTCTCTCTCTTCGTACTGTACTTTGTGTCATATTTTTGTGGTTTAAAAAAAACAAAAAC